AGAGAGACCTGGAAGCAGTCCCCTGAGAATCAGTCCCAGTCGACAGACTAAATGGGAAATACTATTGATACAAAAATAATCCTTCTGCATACTGCCACCAAATCCCTTTTTAGCCAGATACCCCATGAAGCCAAAACTGAAGCTGCTATAATTTAAGACTTTCTTGTTCCAGTCAGATGCAAAATTGTGATAATAACAAATACAGACTCAGTGCTCATGGTGTGCCAGGCCCAGTCCTAATCACCCTCCATGCATTAACTCATTTAATCCCTAGATGCATGAGAGGACACTGGAACACAGAAACGTTAAGCCACTTGTCCAAATCACACAGAGAAAGGTGACAGGACAGGAATGCAACCCCAGGCAGTCTGCCTTCCAAGTATTTAATTGCTAAGATATACTGCCTTATGTCAGTCAAGACTCAATTACTAGACAGGTAATTCTCTTAAATCCCACTCACAAGAATCTTCAGTACTTACTGATTTACACTCATTTTAGAATGCATTTGCCTTTCTATTTCCCACCAATAACCTCTACGGAGGGCAATCAGAAAAGGTACTGAAACTGAAGTTTCCAGGAAGAATGGCATAATTCAAGACACAAGTTATACAGCTGAGCCCTGGCTGGGGTGCCACATTCTCTTCAGTGAAGTAGTTTTGGGGTGTGCGTCTAGGCAAGACAACCTCGCAGGATTTTATAAAGATTACTGTTTTTGTTGTTACTTGGACTGCATACAACTGAAATACTTAAGTGTTTCATACAGTAATGCTATCATCCTGATTAACATTCCAACAAACTAGGTCTTCACCTATTTTTTCCACTACAGCCTCACAAATAGTCTACCCATCCCCCAAAACATAAGCTTTTCCTGTTGATCTCATTTTAGTCAAAAGACAGATTTGGGTTTCATTTCAGATTTGGGTTCCTTCACATTATCGTCAGAACCATCCTGGACACTCTGATAGCTTCAAAAACCCAAATTCTCTTAATTTTGTTGACACAAAAAACACCATTTCATAAAATTTCATTCTCCTCTGCACCAGCAAAGGCCAGTGTCTGAAAGAATTTTCATGTTAGGTGATAATGGCATCTTTTTTCTCCACTTTATGAAGTCAGGCTGATTCTGTCACACAGCCCCGTCATTTGGCTAAAGAAGGTCATCAATGCTAAGACCCTTGAGTAAAACTTCCAGAGAAATGAATTCTTCTTCCAGAGCTATCCTTTATAAGAGCATTTAGTAAACATTTGGTTGAATGGGAAGAGACCACAAACATCACACCTGCAAACAGAAGAAAATAAAATGCTAATTTCTGTAGAACTGACAAGAGCTTGAAAGAGCTAGTACTCACAACTGGGCAACCACTGAAAGGGATCAATCCTCTAATATAATGCTTCTTACTCCCCTAAGTCCCAGTGCAATGGCACATACAGCAAAAAGAGATAATATTCACCCTCAAACTGCCGGACTTGGACAACAAAGAAAGCCCAGGGTATATGATGCTGCTTGAAATACCTTTCCCATAGAGGTAGAATAAAAACCCTTCCTCACGGTGTTTGCTGGCTTTCTACTTCTAGACAGAGACAGTGAAAGTATACTGACAGACCTCTGCTGGAAATGAATTGCCCAGCTAGCTGCTGGCTAGGTTTTGCCCTAAGGAGTCCTCTCGGCCACAATGCTCAGTACTGCTGTCGAGTGTCCTACTGTCTGACGCCTCCATGAAGGCACTGGAAAAGGGCTAGAGAGGCCTTGGTCATCAACCAGGACAACCCCTCTACGGCACATATATCCCGCAATATTTGACAAAGTAAACTGGCAGAAGCCTCCTTTATTCCCTTCCCCTAGACTTAGAACTATCAATGGTAAGTAAAAAGACATTTCACATCAAGAGTCAGGATAAGCAAAGAATTGTTAAAAAATAAAAAATAAAAAAAATTCAAATTAAAGCATTCAATAGAAACCTCCTCAGAATCATATACACAGATTCTACTGAGAGATGTCCAGCAGATGGTGACTCAGAATCTGTGTCAATTTGGTCTATAAGTAAAACCTGGAGGGTAGGAAAATGAATGAATAGACAAAGACATGCATCTTCCATAAACACCTGCTGTATGCACTCTGAGAAGGACTTCTCTCACATTCTTACATCTCTCATAAGATTTTGTACTATTACTGGGAGACTGAGCCACATCCATTCCCTTAAGGAACATCCAGATATAAAAATAAATTTATTTTCCTAGAATTATGTTGGAAATTACTGACATGCAGGAGGCAGTGCTTACTAGGTACCAGATCCTAAGCCAAGTGTTCTGTACACATTATTCACCAAATGTCATGTCACTCCTCAAGAAGCTTCCCTGACCACCCCATATAAAATTGTCCCCATCATGCATTATCTTTACAGAACTCAGCACTATCATATATTATATTGTTTTAAATTTGTCTACTTGCTTATGCCCTGTCTCTTATCACTAAGACAGAAGTTCTATAATGTCTTGTTTACTGAACAATCTCCAGCATCTAGAAAGGTGCCTGACACGGAGCAGTCACTCACGAATGTATGATCTCATGTTGTCCACATCAAGGCCTGATGAGGTACTGGTAACAGAGGGAACTGAGGCTGAGGGAGGTAAAGAAACCTGCCAGAGACAACCCAGCTAGAAAGTAACATCTGGCTGCAGAAGCTACACTCCTCTTTGCTATGCTGTACTACCTAGGTACAAAAATTCCCCTAGAGATCTCATTCTCAAAAATCTTTCCATCAGAATGACTTGCACACATCCTGAGTTGTGGCAAAGATTATGAGAAGGATGCTGAGTGGATCAAGAAATCTATACAGTTCAGGGAGAGAATTCTGTTGTGTGGCAGTGCTAGCAGTATGCCCTCTGTCCCATGAGTAGGGGAAGAATAAAAAGCTACAAAAGGAGGTTGACTGATTAAGGATATGGTGCTACCTTCTTAAGGAATTATACCAGTGAATATTAAAAATGAGAGAACACTCCATAGGATCTATGAATACCACATAATGTCTGTCACCTTTCTTGGTCTAAGCTCCTGGAAGACAGAGGCTGTCTCTTATTTGTACTTGACACAGAGTACCTTATGGTACCTATGCGTAAGGATAGCTACCTGTCAAAACATCCTCTTTCACCCTTAAAGAATTTTGGCCCAGCTTGTGCTTTGTTCTGGTGTCTCATTCACCAAGTAGGAGTCAGTCAACAGGGATCCGGGAGCCCTAAGAATGTTCACAGAATGTGTGGGGAGGGTGGGAGCAGAGATGTTAAAAGGCCGTACCCCCTCAATACTGCTTGTGTAAATGAACATTTTTCCAGATATGGCTCCAAAAGAAACCCTACCTAGGATAAACCTTTTGAAAGAAGGCTGTCCTAGTTCTATTTAACACTTCCCTTAAGGGGCTAGAAACTTCAGACAGGATTTTTTGTTGGGACAGAGGGTGAGGCAATTAAAACACAATATTGTTATTTTCTACGATCGATCGAAGATCAAACAGCTCTGATAAAAAGTAACACCCCTCTAAGAGAAAGACACAGTTGGGAGAATGGTACAAAAGAGAATGGCATGGCATGTGCCATGGCTCTCCTGTTTGTTTCCACCACTTATAATATGATTTAGCACAGTGGGACAGGACTTAGTGATTATTTACTGATTACAAGATGTTCATGAATTACGTGAGTGTTCTATTAGGACAGTCAGAATGGAATCAACCATAAGCATAAAGTTTGGGACCTTCACTCTTCTCTCAAAATATTGGTAGCTGGCACAGTTTCTGACACATAATTAATATCTATTAAGCGACTGGCTTAATGATGGACAGCGAACAAATCAGTCAACAAGAACTCTGTCAAGGGGGTATGGCCTTAATCAAGTCATTCTCCGAGGATATAACAGCATTTATACTACTAACAATAGGTATGGATATATCAAATATCCTCTAATTAGTGCTTGTTCCCAAAGGATTTACAGCATGTCATTTCCGTACCCATAAGGGGAGAACATGGCCAAAGAAGGGAGAAGATTAAGTAATGAGCCATGCTGAATGGAACAAAGCTGATGAAAGGGCATCAGGCTCTAAGAGAGGTAGAGTTCTCATGTAATATTACTCTTTTCTGGCAGAGCCTTAGGGCTCTTACCCTTAAGGGCACACTGCATTCACAGTTAAGTACAAGCAGTGGGTACATAAAAATCAAACTGTATCATTAAGTTTCTATCTCCCACTTGACAGATGAAGGAACTAAGACACCACAAAGAAAATAACTTGCCCCAAAGAAATACCATGACAAGAAGGATTCTTTCTACTTCATAATTCCTTCCAAAACTACCAGGTAAGGTTCAATTAAAAGTCCAAATGACAGTTCTAGGTGGCAAGCGGAATACATCTAGATGTTTCAAACATAAGGTAAGTATAGATTCAGATTCACCAGCTCTGACTACTACAGCCAAGAACTTGAGTACAAAACTCCAATTTATAAAGAGCCATGATGAATGCAATACACATGAACAAGCCATACTCTCTCCTCCCTGATGGCCCTCTTGAGAAAGCAGCACATGCGGACAGGACCTGAGTGCCACAGGAGTTGCCATCAGTGGTCTTCACCCTAGGTCTGGATATAAGTACTGACCTAGAATTCCTGTGCCAGGCAGATCCTTGAGATGACAGTCAAGGATCATTCTTTACATTAGGATCTCAGTATCAGTCACACTCCAAACCTGTCATTTTCCCCATATACTGTCTTTGTCATCTAGTCCAACAGCAACTGGGCTTTAGTTTTTAAAATACACTTGTGCCCAATAACTCTACTCGTAGAGAAACCTTCCCAGCTTCTTCTAGAGTCTCGTATCACAACTTCTTTCTGGTTGGAATGCAGTATGCTCCAAATACAGATTTCTGGTACCTTTCCAAAGTTCAATCATTTGAAACCCTCCCTCCCCATACATAAAAAATATATCCTTCCAGCATCATTTGACCGAAGTATAAAGCAACCTGGTTGGCCTCCATGCATCCGATGGCATCTTCCAAGAGTGAAAACTCCACGCAGACATAGCCATAGTCGTAACCTGGGGACAGCATTTAAATACAGACGGGAGTGGTGTTAGTGCCTTGCAAACACAAAAGACACACTTAAATCCCCTGTTTCTGAACCCCTTAACACAAGCCCTCCCAACTAGGCCCTCCCTCCCCTATACTAGGCAAAGCTACTACCCCAAACAGAAAAAAGTACTGAAGGAAAATCTGGATGTTTCTGGGCTTTGAGAGTCACTCCAAAATGGCATTTTCTATTAACCAAGAAGATTTGCCCTCTTTAGCACTGATGGTCTTGGTGAGGGTACCCCAGAGTTAGGTAATCCCACAGAAAGTTCAAGTGGGGACCCAGAACATTTCACCACAGGCTGAATCTTCTGGAAAAACAAAGTCAACAAGAACAGGAAAGTATCTGGAAAAAAAAAATGTATCCCGAGAGAGGAAGGAGAAGCAATTATCCCAAAGCTATGCTAATAGTCACCACTTTTCAAGCAGAAACCACCTTCAAAGACAGAAGTGCTGACAGACTGAGGCAACTATTCTGTTTGGATACCACAGGAGGCTTCGGGTTGGCAGGGGACAGACCATTTCAGGTCTCCTCTTTTTTCCTTGTTTCAACTCAAGTCATAAACCAGCTTAAATCTTTATGAAAGGAAGAAGGTGTAAAAGCATAAGTAAGTACAAATAGTTGGGTCCAAAATTGTGCTTGTGCACAAAGATTGGCAGTAGAGTAGGCTGGGGGAGAGACAGCAGTTGTTAGCAATCAGTACATGTTCAAGAATTGTATAAACCATTAGAGTTATGGAACACCCTTCACCTTTCCCCTAAGCAAGTACCATTTGCAACTCTCATGACCCATGAGACTGGGAGCTCATGGGATTTACAGACTGCTGAGTTCTAAATGTGAACCCATCCTTTAATTTCCCGGATACTGGCACCATATGACAACAAAAACACACTTGGCAATGCAATGCTCCACAAATGACTTCCATGCTTCCTCCACTGCCTCACAGGATAAAGAAGCTCATCTTTAGGAGTGATGCTGTGCAAACGAACAGCAAGAAAAAGATGCAATTTGTTCAGATGAGAAATAAAACTCAGGGGAAGAGAAACAACACAGGACCCAGGCCAATTTTGAGCAGAGTATATGTAACAACGGGAAACTAAGTATTATTAAATCAAAGTATCAGAGACCAAAAAAGTAAAAATAAAAAACAAAACAAAAACTGGAGCAACAGAAAATGTAACTTAAAAAAACAGACCAAATTTGGTGAGATGGGTTGGATTCCTTGTCACATGGAATGAATGGTCTGAAATGTTTTCTTATGATAATAATAAAACCGTGACTTCCAACTTATCAAATACTTCAAATTAAATATGCCAATGTTACAATGGCATAGGCTGATTCTTGCTTAGAATTTTGCGAAATGACCAAGAAGAAGAAAACAGATCTACTCGATAGATATCCCACCATCACCTTCGGCCGAGAGAGAGATTTTCCATTTGATTTGACAGCTTTGACCAGCACACATCAAAACTAGCTGCTGCGACCTTTACTTAAATTGACGACAAAATCAGCCTTTTCTGATTAGTAACTATTTGAAGAAATGAAACTACCTTAAAGAAACGGTATATGTGCTTTTATATATCCTATTAACAACAGAAATTGTCTTGCTAGTTAATTCCTTTCAAGTGGATTTTCTTGGTCAAACTCAGTGAACTTCTCCTACAGAAAGCATTCTGCATTTGGGGGACCCCTGGGTGGCTCAGTCAGTTAAGCCTCCGACTCTTGATCTCAGCTCTGGTCTTGATCTCATCAGGGTCATGAGTTCCAGCCCCAAGCTGGGCTCCATGCTGGATGTGGAGCCCGCTTAAAAAAAATAAATTAGGGGCACCTGGGTGGCTCAGTGGGTTAAGCCGCTGCCTTCGGCTCAGGTCATGATCTCAGAGTCCTGGGATCGAGCCCCGCATCGGGCTCTCTGCTCAGCGGGGAGCCTGCTTCCTCCTCTCTCTCTGCCTGCTTGTGATCTCTCTGTCAAATAAATAAATAAAATCTTTAAAAAAAAAATAAATAAATAAATTAAAAAAAGAAAAGAAAACATTCTGCATTTTGTAAAGCGCTCTGAATGTTCTTGGAAAACACTAGAATAGCAGAAGCAAATAAAGTGCCTTGTATCAGCAAATCTCTACTGCAAACACTTGACTGCATGTCCACAATCAGAAAGGGGTAGCTATGGAACAAGCAGATAAACTCTCAAGAGCGTTGATTACCTCTACAGAGCAATATCAAGGCCCAGGTGTGTGGAATGCAACCCTCTGTCTGGCTGCCCACATGAAAAACACAAGGAACTAACACCACATTGGAAAAGCCCTGAGTTTCCTTTCTGTGCTTAGAGAAGTAACTATTGTGGCCCAGAAGAGCTCACAGAATCTGCGGACAAACAGAAAGAGATTTATGACAACATTCACACTTTACTGAAGAATAAATAAGACTCTCTGATATTACAGTCACTGGGAAGGAAAAGATACAGTTTGCAAGAGACATTATGAGCATTTCTATACATCAACTCTGCAATACATTACCCTAACAATGTACTTCAGACTGAACATTAAATCCATAAGCCCAACTTTCAATATCTTCTGCCCGAAATTTTAGCTATTAAATAGTAACAAAAATTTAAGGCTTAATTATAATACCCAAAACTTAAAAAAAAAAAAAAGCCCTATCTTGATCTTGGGCATTTTGTGTGTCTAACACTCACAGCTGTACAAGGATTTCCAGGAATTGCCCAAATGGACAACAGTACGAAGTAATACTTACATAGCACTTGTTGGTGCAAGACTGCATTCTGAACTCTTTACATACACCAATTAAATCCCCACAAGACCACCCTATGAGGTAAATACCATTAACCTCATTTTACCCATGGGGAAGCAGACAAAGAAAGAATAAGTAATTTGCTCAAAATCACCTCAGTGGTAAGTAGCAATATGGGCTCAGAGCCAGGGACCACATTCAAATTGATGCTGTTAACTGCTACACTGATAGCCTCGAACCTTTCTTCTTCTTCTTCTTCTTTTTTTTTTTTTTTTAAGATTTTACTTATTTATTTTTGACAGAGACTGACAGAGCGAGGGAGGGAACACAAGTAGGGTAGTAGGAGAGGGAGAAGCAGGCTCCCTGTTGAGGAGGGAGTCCAATGTAGGGCTCAATCCCAGAACCCTGGGATCATGACCTGAGCCGAAGGCAGATGCTTAACAACTCAGCCACCCCGGCATCCCGAGCCACTCACCCTTTAATAAAATCCTAGACTGATACGAGTAATCTGAATTCTAAATTTTACTAAGCCCAATCATAGAAAGGGTCCCACATGCCCAAGCACAGACAAGTTAAGACCATGTCTATGGTTGAGAAATACAGAAATCTGCAGCACACCAGTTACCTCATTCTAAAATACCTATGGCAGAACCTTGTGCACGGACCCAAGTATGCAAGTTAGAAATCATTCACACTCATGGACTGCTATACTGGCTACCAAAAATCTTCTGCAAAGACAAAAACCCAAAAGTCTTGTTGCAATTATAGCTATAAAAATTACAATACAGCAAGATACTTGATATGAGATGTTTAATATAACATATTTAAAAAACTTTAAAAATGAGGATAATTATATATAATGTGTATAGGAAAAAGAACCAGAACTAAATACTATGAAGTCACATCTAACTCAGAGGTTAGAGATAAAAGTTTGCATATGAGATGAAAACCATGCATTGTCAAAATCATACTCGAACACCGCAACGTGAAGAACAACATACCATCTCTCAATATAGGTTAAGTCCAACACTGCCAGTTTTTCCTCCAGCGTCGCAACAGATCACTTTTCTTTTGGTTGACACCAGATGAAGTGGTTGGCTTGCATTTAAGGACCATAATGTATGAAAAACATATCACTTTAAATAACAGAATCACAGCTAGCACAGTGAATGCTCACACTTAGGGAAACTTGGGAGACAGAGACTAACTGAAGCCACAACTGAGTCACATCCCACCTCTCATGCTCGCTCCATGAGAGGGAAGATGGAGTCGGAGAGAGGGGCTGAGCAACCACAGGTGAATATACAGAAATCTGAAAATGATGTAATGCAACACAACTGTACACGAACATGATTACAGTGGTTCTACTATTGTAGTGGGATAACTGGGAGTTTCTTTTTAATCCCTCCAATGTAATTTTATAATTCACAGAGTAAGTTCTAGTAGACCTATTCCACCTAAACATTCTGAAAACAACCAACCAAACTTGCATTCAGAATTGCTAGGAGCTATTTGGGAATTAAGATAGTAAACTCTGTGTTAACAGTCCCATAGACAGACTCTGACCTAAGGAATAAGAAATTTTTTTATTACCCTTTTCTTCTACCCCCACATTCTAGGAAGAAGCCTGGTGGGCTGATGGGTCTTTGTGCTTATTTATGTGACTATTTAAAAGGATATTTTACTCCACTTTCTAACCTAACCACTTTCTAACTAAATGTATAGATTTTTCATAAAATTGTGAATCCTCCTTACAGGTTTGTTTGTTTGTTGGCAGCTAAGAAGGATGAGAACAGAGAAAGAAGGAAATCTATAAAGGTAACATTAAAATTTCAATTCTTCTTCATATTCATGAATCACATGATTGCCTATCACTCAAAAAAAATACTGTGATAAAAGCTAACAGGTGCTTAAGGGGGAACAAGGTATGAAAACAAAGCCTTAATGAATAATATCGAGTTATCTTTTAGTCTCAGCTCCTAAAAAAGCTGACTCAGAGATGATGACAAACATAGCTCTTAATTGTTAAAGTCAACTGTAACGTCTATACCAAACTCTGCTTTTATAACAATCACACAGCAATATTTACTTAGGCAAATGAGATGAGCAGTCCTCTGTTCAAACTAGTCTAGAAAAACCCAACTATCATAAACAAGTCCAGCTGAACTTCCCATTAGGAGGACTGATTTACATTGATAAAGCCAAGAATATACATAC